GTGATGGAATAGGATGCTGGTTCTATTCTGAATGGTTGATAGATTTTTCATTTCGCTTTGGGGAACTGGTATCTGTTACTTAAAAACAGTCAGAGTCATCATTTATGTTTTTAGGTGGTTGGCAAGATGAAACATGGCCTGATGGTTGGACTGCGGTAACAAGAGATGGAAAGCGATCTGCCCAGTTTGAACACACACTTCTGGTCACCGATACAGGGTGTGAGATCTTGACCCGGCGGCTGGATAGTATTCGCCCCCATTTCATGTCCCAGTGATAGTCTAGACTGAGCAGGTGGATCTGAACGATACATATATATATATTTTGTCTCTGTACTATGCATTTTTTTAAGAGTACAGAATAGAGAGATTTCATCATTTACTTTGTTCTCAGTGATTGTAGATAAGAGGAATATCTTGAAGAACCTGACCCAATGTCAAAAAGCAGAGAAGAATTTAAAGAATTTCCTGCTTTCCTCCTACCTACAACACTTATGCTATATTTTTCTTTTGTCTTCAATTATCTCTAGCACCTTTCTTCCAATTAGACCCACAATTGCTTCTGTTGTTGCCATGATATTAGCTAGAAAAATGTGGGTGACATTTCCCACTGGGACTTGATATTTTGGGATCCAGGTTTTTTTCACCACTTCGGTGTGCCCTGTCTCCCTTGTATGTGAGTGGCACCTGAGATTTTAAGCATTTCTAGTTCCAAAGACTTGCTCCTGCTTCTGCAGATACTGTTGTAAATGGGCTGGGCCTCGTTTGTTTATCAGTTGAGAAGGGGGCAGAAGGGAGAAACACATGCATGTTGCCAAGAATAGGCTACCCTTACCTTTAATTCTGTCCCCATCTCTCTGCTGATGGCCTCTGTGGTGATTGTGGCTGTAGGTGACACACTGTGTTTATGGCAGGACTTGTTTCTCTTGCTGGAGATTTGATAGTATGGGCTTCCTACAGGGAAAATTAATAAATTCTGTCTTATATGCAGCTCCCTGGAATAAGCTGCTTCTCGGCGAAGCAGTATTTGCAGGCAGTCTCCTGCTCCAAAAGCTTGGTGAAGCTGATGTATCAGACTTGGCCTAGGTAAAGGAATGAAACAAGAACCAAAAAGATCCCACGATTCATGGGATCCCTGCGTGTGTTACCTCTGGGGCATTTTTTAAAGGTACATCCACAGGAGCTGTGGGGGATTGGATTTGCAAGACTTGCAGTGAAATGAGTATGTATCTCAAAACAAGTCTGAGTGTGAGAAAATGAAACACCTTCAATGCTGTATTCATTTTCTTTTGGTAATTTTTAAACATGTCATTTTTTCCCCCTCCGTTAAGTGAGTTTCATGCTTTTGGAAAGTCTTAGGGGAGCAGCTATGAAAACTGATCTTATTCCTCAGACTGGGTGTAGAGTGGGCAACGTTAGTATATATACCCCTTTACTTTCTGTTAATGGGTCATGATGAGCTGGAAACTGTCACGTTAAGGAGTGTGGATTGATTAAGCCTCTTTTCTTCTCTCTACCCTTTCTTTTCCCATGCCCACTTCCTTTCCATCATCTTTGGCGTCTCTGCTGAGGGAATTTATTTCTTCTTCTGAATTGTAATGAACAATTTTTCAGACCCCATTGCAGACTTAGTCTTACACCACTGTAATGCAAGAAATAGTTAAACCAATGCAGACATTAAAACAATACAATCATGGGCAAAAAATACACCTTTTACAAGGTGTCTGGTGAATTTGTTGCCACATTAGACCCAAGCATATGAGGCACTGCATACCCTTGGCTCCCCTTGGCACTGCAGAATTTAGGTGGGGGAAGGGGTTAGTGCTTCATAGAACTGGACTCATGTACTACCAAATACCGAATTTGCCAGAAAATGTCTTCTCTGCCCTGAGTGCCTCAGACCTCTGTTGCTGTAAGAGTATCATTGCAATGTTTTCATTACCTTTATTATTATTTTAATTATGCAGTAAAGTGACCTGAAATGATGCATATAGAGCGTGTGTGCGTGCGTATGCGTGTGTGTGTGTATAGATTTTAACAAAACAGACTGTAGTACTTGAGTGGAATTACCTGTGTTGAATGAGATGTAATGTATTGAGGAGATGACTGTCCTGGAGGTTTGCCCACCATATCATTCACTTGAATGGTTACAACGGTCTTGCCTTTTCTATATGTGTGTGTATGATGGGGTGGGGGGCCTTCATTTTTGGTCTATAAAATAAAAGTTGCAGCTGCTTTTAACAGAAATAACTTTTTTTTTTTGTGATCCAAAACCAGACATAGCATTCTCAATTATATCCAGGTTTGCTTCCACTAGTGCAAGCCCTACTGGTAGATGCATGCAACCAGTTAAAAATCACCCTTAAACCTGCACACGTGCCACTTGAATACCTCTTTGTCATTGCAACAATACAACCAAATTTGACACTGCATGTTTTTAATATAGGTAATCTATGATGCTATGCATTTCTGCCTATAAATTGAAATCACAGCATGAAAACTGTTTATACTGAGTTCATACTACTACAGTATTTTTAAACAAGTGGAGAGCTTAGTCAGCATCTACACCAGTTCTTTCAACATGAGGTAGCACATCAGCCTGGAGAACAAAACATTTAATAAAAATATTGTAAAGGCTGTTTTTTTCACCTATCTAGCTGTAACTTTGCTTGAACATAAAATATTAGACTTGTGCTGACTGGATTTGGGAAATGAGCTATTTTTGATTCTTACAGAAGTTGCTATCCACTTGAAAAAAAAAACCCACAACTTAAATCTACTTTCTAATGAGATTTTTAGAAATTGTGTATGCTTTTGCCAAAACCACAATCTTGCAATTAGTTCTGAAATGATCTCTTAAATGTTTTCCCTTTACTTTCCCTTCCCTTCTTATGTAAGAGAGTATGGAAACTCTTCATGCTGTTTCTGCAAATTGACATGAATATTGAGAAGATTTGATAGCTAATGTTGAATAAAGTAACAGCATGAGGAGAGGGGACAAGCTGCATCTTTTACATGACAGCCAGCAGAGTACATACATACACATTTTGTGTATGGTCATTTGTGGAAACTTTTTGTCCATTTAAGTCCTTACAGTTGTCAAGATGGTACAGTTCAATACAGTACCTTGATCACCAAGAATGGGGTACAAGCTCTTGTGTTTACAAGTCCCTTTGTTAGCTGAGCAACTTCAAAGAGACTACTTCAAACATGCTCCATTCAATCAACTGCTTTGCAGCACAAAATAGTCTGAAAACTCTGCTACATAAGGGTTAGGACATCAATTCTTCAGGCTGGGAAGAAGCTGGAGGTCTTTGACCTGAGTGTTCTGGCATCACTAAATGTCTTTGACTTACTTACCCTGGTATTACAAGACTAGCTTTCCACAAACACTCTACAATGCAGATTCTCTAAAGTAATAATGTAATGCAGACAACATGATTGTATGGTCTTGATCTAGTCTGTGCAGCCTAGAGGAACAACTGTTACAGTATAAATATTTTAAATCTGTTAGATCCAGTTGGGGGGTGGTTTTGCTAAGATGTTGAGCTAATATTCTATTGATACCATCTTGCAGTTATAGACTAAGTACTCTTGCTGGAAGGGCTTGACTGCAGGTTTTCTACTGAGTTGTCTGATGTTCAGCCAGCATTTCTGGAGCTGCAGGGTACTGAGAATCACTTCACTGCTGTGTTGGAGGGCTCACTTTCCTGGTACAAATTCACTTTTTATTTCTTCCGGATGATCAAAATTGAATTCTTATGACATTCACAGGAGTTAAGTTAACTTTGTTGTTTACTCTGTCTGAAATGAAGTTACATATGCAGGTACCTCGACTATTTTCAGAATGCTCTAGGGATACCTTTCCAAAGACAAACAGAAAAGATGTAATTGTCCCAGTTGTATAGCAGTGTCTTGGGGTAAGGTAGTTGTTAGTGGTGAGAAGGAATTTCTTCTAGTAAGATTACTGTTTGCATTCAGAGTTCCCTGTAACAGTTGTTTTGACCAGGCTCCCTTAAAACGTGAAACTTCACTCTTAATCAGTGTCCTTGGTTCATTGAAAAGCACTGACTTTTTATGTATAAAACTTTTAACTAGGTAGCCTTTCTGCCTCTGCTTTGCAGTCTGTTTTCTGCTGTTCCTCTGTGTTTTTCCTGGACCTGTGGCACTGCTTCCAGGTTTTAACTCAAAGAAATTTTATCCAGTCAGATCACTTCAGCGACAGTTAAGAAAAAAACCTGCAACTCCAAAATTAAGACTTAACCCTTCCCCCTCCAAACAACAAACAAAAAACAAGTCCCACAAAACCCTGAAGCCTTCATCATGCAATGCTCTTTACTGTAGTTCTGCACCCCTCAAGAGCAGCCTGTTGCTCCAGTAGTAACATTCCCTGCTTCAATGGCATGATCCTGCTTCTGACTAAATAGAGGTAACAATCCCACATTTTGTTTTTGCAGTGCTGGCTGCAAAGGCTGCTTCAATTGCCAGTAAGTTTAAGGAAATGGCAAAATGATGATACTGAAGTCCTGGAGGTCACCACTAGGGCAGGGGTGACTAGAGTAGTAGACTATCATCTTTACAATAGGCCTGCCTACAGCTACTGTAATGAGCCAAATAGGAAATAAGGCAGAATATAGACTTCCCAAGTGAACACAGGTACACCTGGACACTTAAAAGTCATACATCCAACCACACTCTACTCTAGAGTTGGCTTTAAGGTAGAGCTGGATGGTACATCCTTTGTAGTCCTAGAATAGCCTCTGAACCTTGACAGCTGTTGGAGTTCTTGCCACTCTCTCAGTACAGTTACAGCACATCAATGCTGCTTCTTGACCCTGCTGTGCTTAGCAAACTGCCTAGTGTTATGAATCCCACATAATTTGCTATTGCCTCTGAAGAATGCTCTTCCTGTCATGTACACACATACTGTAAAATCACTAGAGGAAAACAGTAAGACACAGCAATCATAGTCACAGTCTTAATGCTCAATAATTCCAACACTGTGTTTAGAAATATGCTTTTATTAAGTAGATTGAGTTAGGCACTATTGAATTTGAAGAACAAGTACAGAAATAGAAGTTCCACAACCAGTGCTAATTATATAATACTATTCAGTGGTTACCGATTTTTTGTTATTTAATATTCGGAATGCTCACCCTAAAATACATCATCTTCCTAGTCCCAGTGAGTTTTCATTTGCTTGATTCTACCCTCTGTCAGAAATTCCATTATAAAAGGACAGTTACCATGTTGCTGGCAAACTGGAAGGTCCACATTTGGCTCTAAAGCTTTAGGACAGTTCGAATGCTTAAAATGGAAAAGAAAAAGAAAAAAAGAAGTTATCAGTAAGTCCATTTTCTCCCCTTCTCTCCCCTCCCTTTCATTGCTGAGACATACTTTAAGTTAACTTCTCTCTCTTGTAAGAATGAAGTTATGCCTATAATATTTATTAAAAATCCTGGTTAAAAGTGAGTTAGTAATGCTTGTTATCTTTGGTTTGTTTTTTTTTTTTTAAGTCTCTCCCCCAATAACATATATTCCAAATGGAAGCTTTTTCAAACTACGCGAGTGTCTGTTTTCAGTAGCTAGCCAAGAATATTGATCAGGAGCATTAATATTTACAGGCTGTTTGGAGAATTTTAAGTAACTTTCACTATTAGTTTCACAGGACAGGGTTGTGTAGAAATAAAGCCTAGAAGCTCAGGGAAAGTGTATTTGTTTATCTCAGAATGAATGTGCGTGGTGTATGTCAGCCTTTATCCTCCCTGTTTAAAACACGACAGTGGGCAGGAAACCTGTATTTTGAGAGTCTTATCAAGAAATGTCTTCTACACCTTTCAGTACTACGAACATTACCTCTTTCCTGTATGCATCAGCTCAAAAGCCTGATTAATTTTGTCAAAAGGCAGGGTGTGAGTCACAAATTCATCAACCTTGATCTTTTTGGACATGTAGTCAGTCACCAGTT